ACCCACACCCACACCCACACCCACACCCACACCCACACCCACACCCAGCCTACACGCACACCCACACCCAGCCCACAGGCACACCCACACCCACACCCACACCCACACCCTCAAGATGTTTACCGGAATGTTTCCGAGAGAAACTAGATGATATAAAGGAAAAAGCATTCAAAAACTGCGAAGAAAGAGGATTGCAGTTCGAAGGTGGATGCAACAAGTTATATTCATCCCGTTTTTTAAAAGGCGTTTTCATGCTCAAGTTAATCGCGAAAGATTTTTTTCAAGCGGTGATTAATTTCAAACGTGATATAGGCAGTGTAGAGGAAACTTTTATTGATATGTTAGTAGAAAGGGAAGTTATTAAGCCTACTTTACAAAAAATTATTTCTGAAGTAAGTAAAGACATTAAAGATGCCATGGATAAAAAACTCTTCACGTGCATTCGTAACAAAAATGAATTACTTTATGCTTCATATCAAGAAGTTTTAGTCGATATTGGTGAGTCTGGTAACTTGGATCAGCTTTCAGTTGGAGTGGTGATAACGAAATTACTGAAAGTGGTTTTCTGCGGTCCATTGTTTATGGCTTTTCTTGGTGTCGGCTTTGGTTTAGGAGTTTTAGGTGATGTTTTTTATAATGTAAGTATGGATTCAGAGGCACAACTACATATGCTTGATCGCCAGCGGAATATTCTTACTCATCTCGAATTTCTGAAGAAATTCTTAGGTACTATGGGGCATCAAATAGAAACTAAAATGATCGAATGGATTGATAATGAACATAAAAAGTTCCGAAACAAAGTGAATGGCTACTACAAAGTTGTTTGTCGTACACTTGAACACCGTGGTCATGCGTATGAGTTGGCACGATCGTTTGCGCCACAATTAGCGCGCATTGAATGTCGCTCAGAAGCTAGTCTTAATTTAGCTGCACATCATGGATCTTCTCCTATTATTGATGAACAAATCGTTTTAGGCACTGGAGGCTTTTTCACCGTTCATCCAGCATCGTGGGAGAATGAAAATGAGTTAGTCGCCAAAAAATTACGAGATCATATCACAAATCAAGATTTTTCGTATCTCGAAGCACATTTTCATCGAACCATAACCAAACTCAACATTCCATATATGGTCCACTTGAAATATCTCTACGAAGGAAATAGTTCAGCACTGTATCTACTTTTGCCTCGTTATGAAAGCGATCTACATTCATTCCTTCAAGATAATATGAACAAAATAACAGCAGACAAAGCCATACGGATTTCGCATGACATTGCAAGTGTTATTGCATATATGCATGCTCATGATCTTGTTCATCGTGACATCAAAGTTCAGAATATTCTCGTGGACAAGCATGAAAAAGTCTATCTTGCTGATTTCGGTACTTGTCAACATGGAAAGAGAACACTACATTTATTGGTTCTCGTCCACTTGCACCCGATCTTACTACAGTACCATCATCTAGTAGTGCAAGTTCACATAGTAGTCACCAATATTCGTACGAAGGCACAGAAGTTGACGTTTATTTACTTGGTTTACTTATGTATGCTTGTGCTCCGAAAGACAGTTATATTGCACCGTGTGACAATACTTCTGAGCAACTACATTTACTTGACAGACGAAGAGTACCTGAACGCTATTGCCAATTGATTGCTCGTTGTCTGAACAAAGAATCGAAACAACGGCCATCCGCGAAAGAGATTGTGACTGAACTCGATGCAATAGATGGGAAACTGTGTATTATATGTGAGGATGCACTACATTTTGTACGGCTCCACCCTTGTGGTCATAAGGTGGTATGTTTTGAATGTCTTGAACAACTTCGTCGAAATTTTACCAACATACAATGTATTATCTGCAAACAAGCATTCACAGATATACGAGAAGACAATGATTCTAGTACATTTATTCAACTTCATTGAACTACATGTATTTGATTAAAAAAATTAAAACGCTTGCTATTATTTGTAATTATATAAGATATTAATAAAATCAAAGCATCATACGACACGCTTCAACAATTGCTTGTGTTGTCTATTATCAGGTATATTTAGATATTATTATAACTACATAAATTAGTCATAAATCTATTTGAAAAGAATAACCAATTAAGACATAATGCTAACTTAATGGACATAGTTTAATTCTCACATAAGGGTGTGGGTGAATGTGAGTGTAGGTATTTGATCTGTTCTGCATTCACAGTCATATCCACACCCGAGCGCGACTTTGGCAGATCCCAGGAAACTTCAAAGATTTTATCAGACCTCATCAAATTTTAGGACTTCATCTACAAAGTCCACATTGTTTCTGCCAAGAGTATTATACAAACATGGAAAACAAAAAAATAACTGGTAGCACATACTGAAAAGATCAACGGTTATATTTACCGGAAGTTTAATGTACATAAAAATCAACGCGTTAAGATTATTATTTTGAAATCGAATCGCCTCGAGTGTGTTAAAGAGAATATCGACTAACTCAAAATTACAATAATCGAAAGATAGGCATTGATTAGATACAACGGAAGTATTCTGAACAAAATACAAACCATCTTGAGGATGTGAGTGTGCGTCTAAGTGTGACTGTGAGTGTGAGCATAGGTAGGTGTGGGATCGGTGAGGATGGATATTCATTAGTTATTTACAAATACACCCACATCCACACCCTCACCCACCCTCATAGTTTTATATGAAATAATTAATAGACATTTTCAGTTATAGAATAAGAAGACAATTCTCTAAACTTCGTCACTAAAGATTAATATGAAAAAATGACAAATGTTATTTATCAATGGTACCAAAATATAGTATTTTCTTCGATGTCGTTCCGACATAGATAACTAAATCAACGTTTACAAAAAAAAACAACAATCGGAGTTGTATCATTTATTTCATTTCATTTTATTTCTGAAAATGTAAAACGATAGAAAAATTAAATAAACATTTACTATTTTTCAAACGTTAAATATTCATTGCAATTACGTGCGTTTTGCTCGTCTTTGTTGTTTGATTTGTTCTCCTTTCCATATTTTTTCATTAATAATCATTTCAAGTTCATTTGATTGATATTGTTTATTATTATCGTCTTCATTTTCTTGTTTATCTTCTGGATAAATATATTTATTAAAAAATGGTGTTTTTTCAATATGAGAACCACGTAAATGAAATAAATGTTTAAGTAATGGTGGTTGTCGTAGATGAATACCTAGACCATCTGGTGTCATTACATTAAATATTACATATTGATCACGACTACATTGAACACTAGCCCAACCTATAGAATAAAAATTCACAAAACAGTTTTTTTAGTAATAGAATTACATACCAGCTGATGATAAAACAATATCTCCAGCTGCTTCTTCTTCTCCAACTCCAAGAATTTCAATAGTAGGTCCTTGAAGTTGTGGTGGATCTTGAAGTCGACTGTTGATACGATTTTGAGGAACCTTTAAAAATAAATTCTCATATTTATTCATATATAAACAATCATTTACTCCAAGTTGATTTTGTTCCAATGCTTTTTCATAAAATTGTTCCACATCTGCTGTTTGTATAACATTAATTGGTAAACGACATGTTGTCATCAAAGAAAGACTTGCTTGAGCATTATTACTAACCTAAAATAATCATTCATTAATAAATAACAAGTAAAAAAGACAAAGAACTAATAAACTAACATGTTTTACATCAATTCTTGCAATTCCACCAATCAATATTGTTTGTCCAACATCTAATAAAATATTTACTGGTCGAATCATAGTTGATTGATGATCAAAAAATGTCAATTCTTTTTTAGTACTACATTTATTAAGCATCTTTAAAGAAAATATTATTTTAAAAATTTTAATAAAAACTAATAGTTCGATTTTTACTTGCTCAGGTAAAATAACACCTGGTGTATCATACAGCCATTTTTCATTTTTATATGAATCAGGATTAAAAGCTCGCATTTTCTTTTGTCGGTAGTTTATATAATTATGTTCACTTGATTCAAATGAACGATCTTCATCAAATGAATTTTTACCAGATGAATATGTATATGAAGCACCACTTTTTG